GCTTACAGAGTTCTGGTTTTCCTCTGCGTATTACAGCGGCCTCGGCAAATCGCGGGAGACGTCCGGTCGCCGCCCGAAGTACGGACTTAAACGCGGTCTTTTGGTCAACTGTATGGCCAGTATCCACTTAGTGCTTATTGACCGTTTACAGATGAATTAGAGGTCACGAAATTGTATGATGTCAGTACATCCTGCTCAACTCGTGATTTTCGCCTTGTTCAAATTTCTCCCAGATGAACATTGCCGGCAAAGTCAGGGGAGACTGAAATGGCCATTTCTGGTCTATTAGCTGTCATCAGTCAGGCATACCTAACCCCATATGGTGCATCACCTGAGGCTCGAACCCGCGACCTTTTCAGCAGAAGTCTAACACAGTAGCCACTGAGCCACGGACTCGTCTTGCCAGTTTAAATTGGGAATATTGACACTCTTTGATGAACCCTCGCCGATTTCTAACCGAACTCACTTGTCCCGCTCTGCTTTGGGAAGACTTACCTTTTAGGAAACGTGTTCAATTCCACAACGCTTTATTTTGCCAAAATCGTTGTCGTGTAACAACTGGGAAAGTAGCCTTTTGAACGTAAATGCATCCTTTCTTTTAGTATTACTTTCATTCAATTGCATTTTTTCGTTGCTCAAAACTTCAAATGCAAAACCATTTTAATCGTCTAAACTGCTTCTATACCTGTTTTGTGGAGTCAAATTTTAAAAACATTCTTCTCCAGAAGCGGATTAGAGTCATTGAACCTAACCGGCACGCATAGGGATCAGAGGGTCTCCAGGGTAAACTACAGTACCGTTCCCTTCACTTTCCTTCCTGTGCTATACTCACCCAATTTGCCTTTCAGGTCTCAGATGTTGTCGTTGAGCCGTACAATGCCACTTTGTCAGTGCATCAGTTGGTGGAGAACAGTGATGAGACCTTCTGCATCGACAATGAGGCCCTCTACGATATTTGCAACAGAACCCTGAAGCTGGTGAGTCCCACGTACGGCGATTTGAACCACTTAGTGAGCGCCACTGTCTCCGGCATCACCACTTGTCTGCGCTTTCCCGGCCAGCTGAATGCCGATCTCCGCAAACTAGCCACGAACATGGTGCCCTTCCCACGTCTGCACTTCTTCATGCCCGGATTCTCTCCCCTGACCAGTCGGTACTCTCAAGCCTACAGGACCTACTCAGTACAAGATCTGACCCACCAGATGTTTGACTTTAAGAACATGATGGCCGCGTGCGATCCGCGTCATGGCAAGTATCTCACGGTAGCAGCCATGTTTCGTGGACGTATTTCCATGAAGGAGGTGGATGAGAATATGTTGAATGTGCAGAACAAGAACTCGGCCTACTTTGTGGAGTGGATACCCAACAATGTGAAGACTGCCGTCTGTGATATCCCGCCACGGGGCCTCAAGATGGCGGTCACATTCATTGGCAACAACACAGCCATTCAACACATCTTCAAGCGAGTGGGTGAGCAGTTTTCAGCCATGTTCAAGCGCCGGGCCTTCCTGCACTGGTATACCGGTGAAGGCATGGACGAAATGGAGTTTACAGAGGCTGAATCGAATATGACTGACCTCATCAGTGAGTACCAACAGTTCCAAGACGCCACCGTGGACGACGAAGTGAAACTAGAATAGGAGGAAAGCGGTGAATGCCTTGAGAAGAGAGCACAGTGACCCACAGAGAGACAGAGAGAGTGGGAAACGCTCTCACACCACTGCACAAATTGGTTTTGTCTAACCTTTTGTGGCCATAATCCTTTGTTGAATGGCATCTCAATTCGAGTTTAAAACAAGTGCTATCATTTTGATTAAAACGGTTATTTTGCTTTTTGACATGCCAAAGTGATACTCAGGGCCTAGCCAAATTAGTTTGATGGGCATCATTCATATCATTACCAGAGCGCTTGCGGTACTGTTTCAGGGGAAGTGAGTTAGAGCAACAAAGACAAGTTCCGTGATTTTGTATGCACACAAAGAGGCCAGGATAACTTTGGAGTCTGTTGTTAGCTCCGCTAGCCTTTGAGAACTTTTATGTAGTTTTTGTTGTGGGACTTTGCAAGAGGTCGGGTTGCTTCGTCCGCAGCAAAGTAAAAGTTAACATGGTCGCTCACTCCAGATGCCCCTAGCTCCAGAATTGTGCCTTAAAGGAGCGGCGGTATTAGGTCAGTTTAGTTTTTAGTGAATTACTTCTTTTGATAGTTTAATTTTAATTAGTTGAGTATAGTATACAAAAGTTATCTAAGTACCTTTATCGGCAGGGAACTATAGAGGGGTGCTTGGAATGCCAACAGGTACAATAGCCGCTTACTTACTTATTTTAAGTAGGGGTGAATTTCCACAATCTTCCAATGTGTCGTGCGCCCGCCGTTGGTCCAGTAGAGATTGGTGATGATCTTGAACTGTAGAGGGGTCTTCAGAAGGTCAACATGTACAATAACAGCTTAAGTCAGCTTATTAGGCAAACTGACCATAGGAATAAGCGCTTACTTACAAATTTTAAGAAGGGTGAATTTCCGCAATCTTCCAATTTTCGTGCGCCTGCCGTTAATCCTATTGGGGTTGGTGATGCTATTAAAAAATGTACCTCAGTGACCTCGCCCAAGCTCAGCGAACACCCCTCCCTCCCCCCCCAACATACACGCGCCCGCTGTTGGTCCAGCAGGGCTTAGTGGCGGTATTAAAATGTACCCCAATGACCTCGCCTAAGGTCAGCAACCCCCCCCTCAAATTTACACGCGTAACTTTCTTAATACACGTGATTATTGCGCTCTTATTTGTCCACCAATATGCATCACTCATGCTACCCCTAAAACCAGGTGTCTGTACTGGGGTGGAGCGCGCTTCATGCACACTGTGGGGACCCCACGATAAATCCTTACCACTTTATCTAACGTTGGTAGTTTCTAACTCCACTAAGGCCTGAACTAAACTAAAGCTACAATTGAACTATAAATTAAATAATAACCTAATATTATTAAAAGGTAAAGGTAACCACATGACTATGGACTGGGAATATATAAGGTGGGCGATCACCCTAACTTTTACCCCTGGATAATCAAGTGTGATTAGGCAGGTCTGATTCGCCATCAATTAAGTCGTTTTTATAAGGCAGGTGGAAAGCCTAGAGTTGATTCTTAATGCGAAAATAAGCAGGGCAACTTAGTGTCACTCCCCCGCCGGAAAATGTGTACAAACTGCTTGCCTTGTAACTTAATTCGATGCGGCAGTTTGGAAGACTTGTCTTTTAGGGGATCCAGTACAGCTCTTAAGGGCGGCACTTGTTAGCTAAGCAAATATAGGTCTGGGTTGTCGATAGTTTTACTTCAGTCCAGTTTTATTAAGAGAAAGGTAAGCAAACGCCTTTCCAGGAGAAATTGCAACAAAGCCGTCTTACTTATACTCTTAAATATTTTGCAACAAATGGAGG